CTCTTACCTTATCATAGGGTATATGCAGGCAGCTGCGGGCTTCTACACCTACTTCCAGGTCATGTACGACTACGGCTTCAAACCCTCCGGGCTCATCGGTCTCACCAATAAGGTTGTTTATGAGTTCGATCTGGACGATATGACCCCTACGGTTTTCCCTGACGTCGACGAGAAGAAGCTGAATTGGGATGACAATGACTCAAGCAAATTGCACATCTGTGGGAGAGTCGGCCTTCGCGCCCCTGACGATGCCTCGGTTGCGACCATAGACTCACTGCCGGTCTTTGAGAAATGCAGCGGACCGATCTTCACACTGTACAATCTCCAACAGTACTGTCATGAGAAAACGGGAACTCCGGCGTCCCAGATGCCCGCCGAGTCCCAGATGGACGCCCTTCTCGGTGGGAAGTGGTCCTATGATCAGAGCGTGGGAGTCGTCTATGCTCGCGACAAGTTCAACAGGCCGGCCTGTGATGCTATGCCTCGGGCCAGTATTGTCTTGGAGGGTCTGACCTACACTCTGTTCGTGCCCTATGGGGTCTGGAGTGTGGACGGCCAGAAGAAGATTGACGAGGCTACTCTGGACATGGAGTGCATGTATTGGACTCGCAGTCCTCTCATTGAGGCGGTCGGCGAGGAGTCGACCAGCAATGACGGAGGAGTCCCGGTGTGTCACAGTACTGAGGCCCTCAAGTATGCCCAAAGCGCCTTCTTCCTGGGTATTGTTGTCGCACAGTATGCCACTTTGTTCTTCTGCAAATGCCGTACTCTGTCGCTGACCATGCAAGGCGTGTCCAACTGGTTCCAGAACTTCGCCTTAGTGGTGGAGTCCTCTGTGGCGGCGCTGGTCGTATTCGCTCCTTTCATGTGGGTGGTCTTCAATACTAGACCTTTGGAAGGGTGGCATGTATGCGTACCGGCCATGCCCTTCGCTGTCTTCAACTACTGTTTTGATGAGGTCCGCAAGTACTTTCTGAGACAAGGCGCTCCAAATTTGAAGGCGATAACGGGAGCCTCTCAGACTAGATTCGGCAAGTGGGTGTATAAGACAACATATTACTAAGTGCCGGTAGACGATGACTTATCTCTATAATGCATTGAGATAATGAAGAATGTGTTCGTCCCTGTTAAGTCTTTGTCCATGATCGTGCATGCCTCTTTATCTGTGAACGCATATGGTGATGATGTTTGACGCGTCTTGTTGGGTTACAGTTAATAGTGATGGATGCGGCAAGTGAACTCGTATGGAAAATGCCTTAGTGAGATGTGCTACATGCCTGCGAGAGTCTACACCTCCGAAGCGAACAAGGCATTCACTTTCGTTGCTGCGTACTGCTATCGTTGGTTCTACTTGGGACAGTTATGGCGACCGGTCTTTTTGCGTTTCGACTGAAGTATCGTCCCGGTAGTGAGCAACTTCATCTTATCCCCCGTCCGCAACCTTGCGTAACATTGAGAAAAGAACTCGTGTCAGCCAGAGAGGGAAGACTCCAACCAGGCGACCCCAAGGGCGGGACGGGTTGGTCAAAAACATCTTCCAGACATCCAGCACGACAATGATGGACACAAAATCCTCAAGCGATGAGCACAACGGTGACGTGGCTTGCCTTGCACGCATGCACATAGTCGATTTGCGGAGCCGACCGCATTGGATTTTCACTCGACATACTGAGCGTATCGAACACTCTAATTCCACTAATGCAAGCACACAGTGGAAATATAAAATCTGATTTAAAAGAATGTTTCCACAGAGTGAAAAAATCTGATTTCATTTTTAAAGATTATTTGAGATTGAAAAAATGTATGTAGTACAACCACTGTTGTCGTTCGGCCGATGATCTCGACAAGGGTGTTAGTGACACATCTGGAAAGGGTGGTTGACACAGAATGCTGAGTGGAGACAGTTTTCATGTCATGGTCAGCGACACTGGCTTGAAGATAACGAGGCGTGCCTCTACAGCGAGGATGCCTTCTGGAGGGTATCTCTTCGCTGTGGTGAAGGACAAGGTGCAGGAGTACATCACCAGTGACAATGGGCGCTACAGCAGACGCATCATCAGCTTGGGTAGGGCTCAGTCGGTAATCGTATAAGGTACTCCCCCTTAGGTAAGGGGGACACGCCGCTACCACTCCCTCCAGTACTCGCAGACTCCATGGCTGAATTCTCTAGGAACATGCAAACAGTAACTCAGCACGCTTTTGTGGATCACAGAATTGCTCGTTGCCTTTCAGCCTGCTGGATTCGTGGGCTACGACTCGCAGTATGAGCCAATTCTACGGCAGCTGATCTCGGATAAGTATTATGGCAGTCGATGCCGCGTTGGGGTCCACGAGATATTCTGTAACCCCTTTCCTCGTCCTCGCCCACACCTGAGTGTTTGTGCTGAAGGTAACGATGGTAGCAAGCCGGACATAGGTCGGCTCCAGCTACTCTTCGACCCATCCATGAGGGTCGCAGTGCAAGACCCGGCGTATCCAGTAAGGAAAGGCAGAGGTGATGGGCTCGTGTACGACCTCGTATTAGGTGTATGCGGACTCTGCGGTGCTCTCTGGAAGGGTCTCTGGTGAGATGGAGAGTCAGGGTCATTATAAGGACATAGTGTGAGGCTCTGGTTGGCAGTCACTGTATGGGAACGCCCGTTGTAGGTACATGCCCTGTACTGTGGAAAACGACTTCTTCCCGGACTTGACTTTGACCTTGGGTGCCGATGGTCATGCTGGTGCTGATATAATCTACTATTGCAATCCCAACAACCCG